CAATTGACCCCATGAAGTTTTTGCTCCCATTCTACCTTACCTAACTCCTCCCTCATTCCTTCATAGTCTCCTTCGTTTAAGCACAGGACATAGGTACTGGATTTAACCTTCTCATGCTCCATCAGTATTTTAAATTCGACCATACTGTGATTGCTCCTTCCGAGAGGATCCCTAACTGTGAGATCATTAATTATTCCTGTCTCATTACACAGGACTAGATCTAGAATAGCTTGCTCCCTCGTAGGTTCCATTACATATTGTTCAGGAAATTATCGCGGATGCATTCAATGAACCCCTCCTCAAGGCTGCCATGACTGACCTGGTTTGACCAATCGATATGTAGATTAAAATCCCCCATGATAATTGCTGTACCATTTTTACATGCATTAGCTATTTCTAGGTTTATTGCCCGCCCCACCACAATGTCATTATTTGGTGGCCTATAGACCACACCTATCAGTGACTTCTTCTCCCTGCTATTCCTAATTTCCACCCAAATGGATTCAACGTTTTGTTCAGTAAAACCGATATCATCTCACTACCGCCCTGATATCATCCTTAAAAATCAGAGCAACACCACCTCCCTTACCTTCCTGTCCGTCCTTCCGAACAGTTTGATACCCCTGGATATTTAATTCCCAGTCATGACCATCCTGTAAGCATGTCTCTGTAACGGCCACTAAATCATACCCATTTGCCATGATTTGCACCGTCAGCTCATCCACCTTGCGCATTCAGATAAAGTGCCCTTATGCCAGTTTTTGCACCTTCTTTTTGGGTCCTATTACTTCCATTACTAACAGCTCTTGAGTTCTCCTGCCCTTTAACTTTTTTCCTAATTTTCAATGGAGTCGAAGCTTCCTCGTCACCTGCTAACCTGCTGCTTTGCCTTACATTAATTGTTATTCTCCCTCTACGCTCACTTCTCCCTTCCCCACTACTTACTAGTTTAAAGTCCTATTAACCACCCTATTTACCCTTTTCGCCAGAACACTGGACCCGGCCCTGTTCAGGTGGAGTCCATCCCAGTGGTATAGATCCCTCCTGTCCCAGAACTGATGCTAGTGCCCCATGAAAAGGAAACCCTCTTTCCCACACCACTCTTTTAGCCATGTGTTTACTTCCCTGATCCTCGCTCCCTATGCCAATTTGCACGTGACTTGGGCAGCAATCCAGGGATTATGATCCTTGAAGACCCGTTTTTTTAAATTTTGTTCCTAGCTTTTCATAATCCTGAAACAAGTCGTTTTTCCTAGTCCTGCCTATGTTGTTGGTACCTACGTGGACCACAACAACTGAATCCTCCCCCTCCCTCTCTAGTATCCTCTCAAGGCGGTCAGAGATGTCTCGCACCCTGGCACCAGGCAAGCAACACACCATGCGGGATTCTCTATCCTGCTTGCAAAGGATACTGTCTATCCCCCTGATGTTGGAATCCCCTACAACTACAATCTGTCTTTTTGCTCCCCGGTCTTGAATGGCCTCCTGGACCATGGTGCCATGGTCAGTTGACTCATCCTTCCTGCAGCCCTGTTCCTCATCCACGCAGGGAGCAAGTGCCTCATACCTGTGGGACAATGTCAAGGGCTGCAGCTCCTGTGTTCCTGTCTGCAGGGTCTCTCTACCTGCCTCACTCGCAGTCACACACAGCTGTCCCTGCCTGCCGATCGAATTAACATTAGTTAATCTACCAGGTGTGACTGCCTCCTGGAACACAGCATCCAGGTATTTCTCCCCCTCCCGGATGTGCCTTAGTGTTTGGAGTTCGGATTCCAGCTCATCAATTTTGAGCCGGAGCTCCTCAAGCAGCCAACACTTGCTGCAGATGTCATCACTGCCGTTCTCAATGGGATCAGCTAGCTCCCACATCATACAGCTACAACACATCACCTGGCCTGCCATCTCTACTTAGTTAATTATTTAAAATTAATTAGTTTTTTTTTAAAGTTTCGCCGTGTTCTCTGCACCAGTCAGTTTACTCCGTTATATACTCAAACAAACTCCGGCTTTGCCTTCCGACCCACTCCCAGAGGATTTGGCGTCTAGGTGACCACCCCGAAAGATAACGAAGAGATGAGGGAAAAAAAATGCAAAGAGCTTACCTGCTCACCACACTTAGTCGTCATTATTAGGTTAGAGGAAGTGGAAGGGTGGGAGACACTACGCGTGTAGTGTCTCGGGTATTAGTTAACTCCCAAATTTATCGGGTGGAAGCTTACCTTTCCAGGCTGCCCTTGCACTTTCTCCCAGACTGATGTTAAGGGCAAGATACAGGCATAGATAGAGGACTGGCAGAAGGCCTTTTTCAGGAAGGCAGTTGGTGACTAGTGGAGTTCTGCAGGGGTCAATGTTGGGACCATAACTATTCATGTTATCCATTAAAGATCTGGATGATGGAACTAAGGGCTGTTTGCAGAATACACAAAAGATAGCTGGAGGGACAGGTAGTGCTGAGGAGGCAGGAAGACTGCAGAAGAGCATGGGCAGACTAGAAGATTGGGCAAACAAAGTGGCAGATGGAAGACAATGTGAGAAACATTTAGGTTACACACTCTGGGAGGAAGAGGAGAAATGTTGACTATTTTCTAAATCGAGAAAGGCTTCGGAAATCTGAAGCACAAAGCCATTTTTTAGGAGTCCTAGTTCAGGATTCTCTTAAGGTTAACATGCAGGTTCAGTTGGCAGTTGGAAGGCAAATGCAATGTTAGTATTCATTTTGAGACAGATAGAGTACAAGTACAGAGATATGCTGTTGAGACTCTACAAGGCTCTGGTCAGACTATATTTGGAATATCGAGAGCTGTTTTGGGCTCCATATCCGAGGAAGGGTGTACTGGCCTTGGAGGCATCCAGAGTAGGTTTAACAAAAGAATCCTGGGGTTGAAGGGCTTGTCATACACGGGGCAGTTGAAGATTTTAGGTTTGTACTCCATGGAGTTTAGAAGGATGAAGGGTTATCTCTGAAGCTTACAGAATACCGAAGGGCCTGGATAGAGTGGATGTTAGAATTTGTTTCCACTAGTACGAGAGACTAGGGCCAGAGGACACAGCTTCCAACTGAAGGCACAACCCTTTAGAACTGAGATGAGGAGGAATTTCTTCAGCCAGAGGGTGGTGAATCTGTGGAACTCATTGCCACGGAAGGCTGTGGAGGCCAAGTCACTGACTGTCTTTAAGAAAGGTATAGTTAGGTTCTTGATTACTAAGGGGATCAAAGACAGGAGAATGGGGTTGAGAAACATATCAGCCATGATTGAATGGTGGAGGAGATCTGATGGGCCAAACGGCCTAATTTTGCTTTTATATCTTATCGCCTACTGGTGCCTTGTCATCTTAAAAGTATCATATGTCTATTTAGGACTACTGCTGTATTAATTTTGGACTGTTCCAGTGACAGAGTTCCCTCCTCTGTCATCATGGGCTGGGCAGCATCTTCCTCCTTTGTAAAGACAGATGCAAAGAATTCATTTAACACCTCAGCCATGCCCCCTGCCTCCATGTGTAAATCCCTTTTTGGTCTGTAATCAGCCTGATTTCTCCTTTAACCACTTTTACTATTTACATGTCTTTGGAAGTCTTAGGAATTAATTCCCATTGTTAGCTGCTAGTCTTTTCTCATAATTCCACTTTGAGTCCATTATTTGCTTTTTCATCTCTTCCCCTAAAATCTTCGGTATTTCTCTTGGTTCTCAATTGTATTTTCTACTTTACATCTGTCATAAGCATGTTTGTTTCTTTTTATTGTTAATTTCCAATCACTTTGTCATCAGACAACTCTGGATTTGTTTGGCCTATCTTTCCCATTTGAGGCAACATACCTGGACTATCGCGAATCGTCTACTCCTTAAGGCAGCCCATTGTTCAGTTACTGTTTTCTTGTGAGTCCCTTGTTCCAGTCAAACCTGCCCAACTCTGTTCTTGACCCAATGAAGTCAGCTCTCCGCCAATGGTTTCTTACTCCAATTTTTATTCTCCATCAACATCCTGAACCTTACGATAGTGGTTATTCTATCTTCTAAATGTTCCCCCACTGACACTTGCCGCCTCTTGCAGTACTAGTATTCCAGTCTATAATTGGAGCTGTCCATTTAGCTTTTGGTGGTGTATGATGGTAGATTTGAAAGAGAAAAAGGGACAAATGCTACTAATGCCAAGCCTCATGGGAGCCAAGAAGGAATGCTGGATAATGAGTGGTTTGGTGGGAATAGGGTTGAGACACCAGCTGGTTCATCAGATGGGCTTGAAGAAGATAGGAGGGAGGATAGGTGAGAAAGCGGAGACATTCGTTTGCCTGCTCTACTGATGCAGATATACAGCCCTGTCACATTGCTTCAATGTATTTTCCCATTTAACTAGAAAATGAGTCACTTAACCTGATAACGGGAAAGGATTTAAACTAAACAAGGGGAAGTAGAGAACTGAATGGTAAGTGGAAACTACCATTTGCTGCTCTTTAAGTCTTGGTTTCACGGAGGGGAGGAAGCAATGGGTGAAGACAGACAATGGAACAGCACCCCAACACGAGTCAGCATTTTCTGAAGGGAGGGGGGGTAAAAAAAAACAAAACAGGGGCATGCCATTCTGCTCAAGTCAGTTTGATTATTCCATTGGACAGTTGGTGATCTATACTACAACTCCCCTTAGTCACTCTTTCTCCATATCCCTGATCCAGCAAAATTCCACCCAATTTAAACTTTGACTAAAAACATCCAACATATCCTATTGCTATTTTCCCTGCACACAAAGCTTTGTAGTTCCCTCCCTAAACTGCTTTGCTTTTTTCTTCTCTTTAGATGCTCAAGGCCTACCTCTTGCTCATTCTTTTGGTCTTGTATCCGATTATTGCACGTTTGTGTGAGCTCTTGTGAGGTACCTTGCAACATTTTATTATGTTTAAAGCATTATTAGAATAATAAATGTACGATGAAACTATAGACTGTGGATATTCACGCTTACACACTCGATTTGATCCTCCTTCACTTCATGCACAATAATATGAATCATCCCAGCTCACCTTGTAGCCACCTGACCTGAGTGGCTGGCCCATATCCCTTTTCATTCTTGGCTGCTATCCTAAAGATTATAGCAGGCTTTGTGGTTGTATCGATGTGTGCATTTGCTAGGTTTGATGAAGACACGAGACAGCTGGGTACAGGCCCACAGTAAACACGGACAAAGAGCAGATGGGAAGTCCCTGCAGGTTTGGGATCTGCTGCCTGTGACCCTGGAAGTGCCAGATATACTGAGTATTCAATGATGGTGCCAGAAGTAACAGCAGGAGGTTCCCAGGAGAGCTGTGCACCTTCAGCAACCTACAAAATAAAATTTATCTGAATTCATTAATCGTGTTAAACTAAATTCTGAATTATTTTCAAAAACTCCCTAATATAAACACAAAACAATACAGTATAATCAGGTATTGATCTGGCTCAGAGTCCAAATAACACTATCAACTGATTTGCACACATGATCTGCCACAGTTATTAGGCTGCTAATCAAATACTTTAAACAGTAATTAATAAACTGCTCAATCTCTTGCACTAATACTCTGCTTAGAATGCTAGTGTTCTTAACACTTGTGGTATAAGCAGTGATCAAATGAAGTCAGCGGTGAACATCATTGGGAGTCAGGTGTTTTGAATTCATTCACACAACGTACACAACACTGGCTAGGTGAGCATTTAAAAAATTCATTTGTTGAATGTAGGCATCACTGGCTGGTAAGCATTTATTGTTTGTTCGTAGATACCCTTGTGAAGGTGGTAGGGAGCTGCTTTCCTGAACCGTTGCAGTTCATTAGCTGTAGGTAGACCCACCATGTTAGTAGGGAGGAAATTCCAGGATTCTGACCCAACGACACTGAAGGAACAGCACTATATTTTTAAGTTAGGATAGTTAGTGGCTTGGAGGGAAACTTGTCTAAGGATCTTTGGTGTATTTCTGCACTATGTCATGTTGATAGTGAACACTGCTGCTATTGAGGGTCAGTGCAGGAGGGAGTGGATCTTTGTGGATTTGGTGCCAATCAAGTGGGCTGCTTTGTCCTGGATAGTGACAAGCTTCTTGAGTGTTGTTGGAGCTGCAACCTCCCGGCCCCCGCAAGTGGGGAGTATTCCATCTCACACCTGATTTGTACCTTGTAGATGGTGGACAGGCTTTGGGGAGTGAGGAGGTGAGTTATTCACTACTGTATTCCTAGCCTCTGACCCACTCTTGTAGCCACTTTTTATGTGGCAAGTCCAGTTGAGTTTCTGGTCAACGGTAACCCCAAGGATGTTGATATAGTGGGGGAATTCAGTGATGCTAAGTCCGTTTATTGCTCATCCCTTACTGCCCTCAGGAAGGTGGTGGTGAATTGCCTTGAGAACTGAGGAGCTTAACTGCCCTCTGAAATTACGTAGCAATGATCAACCATATTACCGACAGCCTGGAGTCACACATAGGCCTGAATAGACATGGATGATAAATCTCCCTCCCCTAAAATAAAATTTTTGAACTGGATACCTCTGGATTAATGAATTTAAGTTCAAATTCAGGAACTCGAACACATAATCCCAGGATAGTATTAAGGGAGAGATTTGAAAGTGGCATCTTTCAAATGGAACACTAAAAACTTTGCACATTCAAGAAACCCCATGGCACTAATCAAAACCAGAGGAATTCTTTTAGTGCACTGCACTCATCCATGCCACTGCCATCTACAATGCACCCAGCCCCTGTCTCCCAATACTGTCCAAAGTAGTTGAAATGCTGAATCTTTCTCCTGTTACCTGTGGAATGTTGTTCTGTATAAACTAGCTGATGCATTAGTGGCAGAGTCATTCTTTTGCAGACAAAGTAATGTGTGCTTGGAAAATACACAACGTTGCAAATGATGAAATACAACTTTTTTAAAAATGGTTTGAAGGTTTCAAATTATCATCTTTTGCTGGTTTTGAACTGCTCACCGTCAACCATTAAATTTCTAAGATTACATGGTCTGAAAATGATAACACTTTCGTAAATCTGCTTGCACAATCTGTATTGACTGTTCTTGATCAAATCACTCCTGGTTCAGTAAATATTCAGCAACAGGGGTTTGGTTGGTGGCCAAATAGCAAGAAAGAAGCAGCAGGCTTAAGCCAGATTATAGTTGCTATCTGGCTAAGTGTCTCTGGGTTGGGGGGGGGGGGCGCGGGTTGCGCGGGGGCAGGGCAAATGGAATTGGTTGAGGGATTACTAGAGAAGGCTCCCAACCTGATCCACCACCCTTTGCTGGGAATGCACAAACTGACATCTCATTTGGATAAGATTGGACCCAGTTGTGATGCCACCCACAGTCAAATAACCCATTGATAAAGCTGACTGCATTAAAATAGGTGCATTTTGGGGAAAATGGGGTTGAATATAAATGAAAGATAAAAGGCCAGCCCAAGTTTTAGCACCAGCAGTGTTTGCTAACGGCAACAGAGATAGCATGACAGCTCAGTCAACCAACAGGGAGAAGAGATATAGACTCAGACAACTCTGCTCATCACAGGTACAAAAACATCAGGGAAATTTCAGGAATCTGCAAAATCCAAGTCTGAAGGTGTCTGGGCCCAATAGTAAAGTGTCTGGAATGATGTTTAAAACAACCATAGAGGAAAATGTAGCACCATCCAGGATAAACCAAGTGCAAGGCCCTCAAACCATGAGCTATTTTCAATTATTCAGTGGCCATTCTGGTTAGAGGTCATAGGTCAAAATTCAGATTTGAGTTGGGATTTAAAATGATCACTTGCCTTGCTGATCTTGATGGCAGATGGTGCACCTGGGAATCCTGGCATGCAGGTCTTAAAAGCTGAGACTTCACTGAATGGGCCCCGTCCACAAGCATTTATGCCAGCAACTCTGAATTTATAAGCAGTGCCTGGATCCAGTTTCACAGACTTTAGATTGCTGTGGTCAGGGATGTTATCCCCACTGCCATCCTGTGGGGAACAAAAAACCTCACTGAATGAGCCTCTAAATTGACTTCACTTGTACCCACAATTGTAAGGTCCCAATTGCACAAAATGTACACCAACAGAAATAGGCTATTCAATCCAATTGGTCTCTGCTGGCATTGTCAGTTCAGATTACACAATCAAGTTTGCAGTATGGGTCAAACCAACAACTTTCTTACATGAAAAGCACAAATGATAGCAACTGAGTTTTAGCTGACAAGTTAATTATGTGACAGTCAAAATGAATAAAAAGCTTAGTTTTAAAGTGCCATGATGCAGAAGAATTTATTACCCTATTAATAATCCATGTAAAAGACTGCACTTTTGAACCAGTGCTTCAAGATGAGCAGGACTGAGAATAAATACACTTTTCTTATCTATCACAATTTAATTAGCCACAACAATGGAATACAAGGTGCAAAAGCTCAACTGTCCTTTCAGATAAGAACCGAACTGACAGCTTATACTTATTGGGAAATTATAAATAGCGCAGGGCACATTACTCAAGAAGAGAAGACTGAAGAATGTACTAATACGCGTAATAACATGAATTGGGCAAATAGCAGTGTGAGCTATTGTAACTAGTTCTAAATGAGTTTTCCCCGTAGTCAGTGAAAGATTCCTTCACCTTCAAAGACTATACAAGACCTACACAGTGAAAGTAATAGCATGCCCTCACGCTTTTTTGACATTCAATGGTATGTTGATAAATTGGCAAAGAAGCCATTAACATTCATCCAAACCACTATATCATGGCAATGGCAACTGGTGCCTGACTTATGCTCAAACTAATGAATTCAGCAACTCGAAAGGTGGAGCTCAGTTTCAGTGACATCATGTACATCCAAATAGGTGGTGTTGCCATGGGATATCCTATAGGCCCAGCTTTTGCTAATGGCTTTGTTGGTTACCATGAGAAGCACATCCTCAGTGGAAAATCACCAATCTCTTACACTTCTCATTTTTCCAACATGTATGTGACACTTTTAAGATATTTCAATCTAAAGCTGCAAAGTATTTCTTTACACAGCTTAATAAACTCCATCCTGCACTCCACTGAAACAGAACAATCAAATGAGCTCCCCTTCATCTACGTACTACCGCCATCAACCGAAAGGCCATGTTCACTGGTCAATGTATACTTTGGGATTCCTACAGTCCCACACACTACAAGATCAATCTTGCTGGCAACCTTGTGATTGGATTCTAGCCAGCTGTTCATTGTATATACATGATGCAGAGATAGTTGTGATACGCCGTATTTCGCAGGACGACAGATATCCTGATCAAATCACCACTCATTATATATCACAAACACTCATGGAAATGTCGACATCCAGTATTTTTGGCCTTGAAATGGTGCCCAGTCTACCTCAGATTGCTCTGCAAGAGGAAGGTGTCTTAAAAATTTGAAAAACAATAGCTGAAGCTAGCTATCTCACATTGCTCCAATGCAGTAAATTCACTAGTGATCTCTCCACTAACAGGATGCTACCGTCAAGTCAGAAAGACATTTTGCCTACCACTCCAATAAGTGCCATGCTTTATGCGTTCCAGTGCTAGTGGGATGTATGTAGGTCATATGTCCCCATGACTGGCAAGCCATATGAAACAACACGTCCACTGACCAGTCAGCATGCTGCCAGGTGCAAATGTGTTTAGCCAGCCTGTTTTTGCAAGCCTCAAGAAAGTATAACCACCATTTGATGTGATTCCGCTACTGGAAATCATTTATTAGAATAATATGGACTGTGCCAAAAGTTACACCGGCAACAAATTTAAAATCATCAGCTGGGCCAGTAGTACGATGCATGCTACAAGCTAAATATATAAATATTCAGGACTCGCTTTTATGTATGCAAAAGGAATTGAACATACAACATAGCACAGGAATAGGCCCTTCAGACCACCAAGCCTGCACAGATTCCTAATCTTAATTTAGACCCTCTACTTATTGCCCATACTCTGTTTCTACCCTTCTGTTCGCCTCCCATTCACATGTCTATAAAGATACGCCTTAAATGGTGCTAATGGCAATGCATCCCAGGCATCCACTACCCGCTGTGTAAAATTTTTCCCATACTTCTTCCCTAATCTTTTCTTCTCTCACCTTGAGCCTGTGCCTGCTTATAGCTGACCTTTTCACCCTGGGAAAAACCTCTGACCAGTAAATTGCACATTTTAAAAAAACAAGTGTCCAGAGACAGCCTAAGTCTGCTGCATCCCTATTCAGAATCTGTCTCTTTGGTTTGAAAATTAAGATTGATGTTAACTTTCTTGCTGTAGTAGCTCCTTGCTGATAGAGGCCTAACCAATCAACACCCTCTTCTCATTTTGTATAAAATGATGTTCTAAGTCTTTTTTAAGTCCTAGTTCTGATGAGTACAAGATAAAAAACTTCATCTTCTAGTCTCCTTTTACCAAAAGTTTATTTTCTGTACTATTATTTAATAAGGCATCGTCTTAACAGCTGCAACTGCGAGTGCTCACAGTTCCAGACCCAAGACACAATCACGCAGGCTGTCTTACACAAAGGCTGCATTGCCATGTGCAGGAAAATGCAAAATTCTGAGCTTTTCCAGTAATTTCTATTTTTGTTGCACAATTCTGGGTTCAGCAGCAGGGACTGAGGACTCAGTATAGAGGTTTATGCATATGGTGTTGGAAAGGACTGTGAATGCTGGGAAGAGTGAAGGAGGATCTGAGAGGCTTTTTCCCACCCTTCCCCAGCTCCCATCATCCCTCTCCAGGGACACATATGCAGCCATCTCCTTCCCCACCTCCCTCCCAACCTGCTTCAATGCACGGAAGTGAATTTAAACAGCGCATAATACACAAGCGCCAGTGTCAGCAAACGCTGCCTACTTATAAACCTAACTGAAAATCTGACTCGGGAGTGGCCTATTAGTGTTCTGTAAAATTCTACATAATTTGCAGCAGTTACATTATAAAAGGCAAATCTTTTTTGATCGAGTAAGTAGCAGATTCCAAAATAAGAAACTAAATTACGGCACTGAAACATCATGGATAAGATGGGAGAAATTAAATAAGCTAAATGCAATCAATCACCTTTTCCAAAAATCAATAAAACACCTTATTCGAGAACAGATTCATCTACCTGCCCCCTCCTTACTCCAGATTGTCAAGAGCAGGTATATATTGTGTAGTGTTGTGCAGTTTTTCCAGATTTCAGTAAATGGGGACACTGCAAAGCCTACAGCTCAGGCTGCACTCATTCCTCTACCCTCCCAAGCACATTTGGTTTACATAAGAATAGCCAGTTGGTGGCGGTACTGGGGAAGGGAATAGATAATGGTGGGAAACTGGTGCCCATTGAACCATACACTTAAAAAAGTCTAAGTTTTTTTTAGGAGATCGGCAAGGGGGATAAAAGATAATTTTAAACTATGAAATCTTTCAGTACGTAGAGGATTGACATTATTTAAAGGACAAATTTAAAAAGGGCGTGGTCATTCTCAATAATAGAACTTGCATACATATCTTACCTCTTCTCCTTGGGAGCCCTCTGCAGGCAAGAAATAGGAAACCACCACTGTGCTCAGCGTTTTGAATACACCAACATCATACCACTGATTGGGTTCCTTCCTGGTTGTTGGTTTTGGCTGGGTATTAGGAGACGCATCATGTTTCTGAAGAATTGTATTAAAAAATATCCATCAACCAAAAAAGTAAACAGCTCTACATTTCCATATGAGAGTTGGAGAACAAAACGGGGCAAACCAGCATTAATCAGAAAGAAACACTGCAGATGAATGCTGACAAGGGGCAAAAAACCTGGAATGTTGATCTTTCAGCTTTATGGAGGCTGGCAGATTTGTGCATTTCCAAAAATTTCTGTTTTAAAAAGTACACAGACATAAGGTGGCAAGAATTCTCTCCTTCTACAACTTGAACTTATTCAGCACTTCTAACTCAGTAAAATATCCTGAAATCTGACACATCTTAGAATCATAGAATTCCTACAGCATTGAAGCAGGCCATTCGGTCCATTGGGTCCATACCAACCCTCCGAAGAGCATCCCACCCAAACCCACATCCCCCCCATCCTATCACCCTGCATTTACCATGGCTAATCCACCTAACCTGGACATCTTTGGACTGTGGGAGGAAACCAGAGCACCCAGAAGAAACCCATGCAGACACAGGGAGAATGCATGTATGGAGTTTGCACAGTCGCTCCAGGGTGAAATTGAACTCTGGTCCCTCATGCTGTGAGGCAACATTACTAACCACTGAGCTACCATGCTCCAAATCTTCTTTGGGAGTTTGCTGAATAACAGACTCCATACTTTCTAGCTTCGCTACATTAGGATTACACCAGTCTAGAAATTACTTGCACGCTTCATCACATCTCCCAGCCATGTTCCTTCATTCTGTTGATCTATTAGCATCATTTTTTTTATAGGTAACATTCCAATGAAATTTCCTTGACTGTTAATAACTTGGTGGCAACTGCCTTGAGGTATTATTCCAAACCAATTGTTGGCAAAGCTCAAACAGGAATTATATGGTATCCTCTAGCTTGTGCTAGATTGTCTCCAGCATTAGAGTGCACACCTAGGGTGGAACTTTAGCATTATGATCGTGAATTTCAACTGTTTTGCCTTCAGCTCTCCAAATTCTGTTCTGCAACACTGACGTTGCAACAAATTTTAAGCCTCACCATACTATGTAATTACTCTAATGTTGAAATAAATTATTGGAATAACACATCCATAGAGTGCTAGGCCCATAAAATCTTTATAAAGTAAAATTAGGTGCCTGTTTATTTTGGAAAATATGCCAACATTTACTACAATAACATGACGTACCTAGGGATAAATAACCAGCTCTGTATGTTGCTGTTAGTTGAAGATGGGGTTGATCGCAAGTTCACAGAGCTGCTTGTTTTTTGGGTAAGGTTAGAGGACCTGATCCACAGAACAGGCAGACAGGTCCCTGGTAAAATGAAACTCTCTAAAATAGCAACATTAGTACAAAATGACAGGTGGTCATTGTAGAGAAAAGGTTGGCAATCAACAGCAACTCTGTGTTCAGATTGTATCTTGATCAATATTTCTGCACAAATCAATACCACTAAAACATACTAACTGATCAATCAAACCTGGAGGAGTGTGGGATTTTGCTATGCAAAAAAGTGGTTCTCAGATGCCTTTAAACTACACTGAAATACAGTGAATAATCTGGAGCAAATTAAGTGTTTTACTTTTTTGGTTTACTGTTTAGTGGGGTTGGGAGACAGAGGATGAGAGGAAGGAGAAAGAAATGTTATATGTTGCCATTCAACAGCAAATTTCACTTAAAATACACAAGATGCAAGTAGTCCAACTTTAAAATCCAATCTCAACTTCAGAGAATCATCTTCCAACTTATTTTTTGTATACAATACTAGTTTTGGGTAGCTGGCAGAATTCTCACGACATGGCAACTTTTCAGCCCATGCTTACCCTTAGTGAATGAAATGAAATGGAGAAATGGAACGCCTTCCTATTACAGTGGGGCAACATATCAAGTTATCTCCAGTAAGGATTATCCCAATTGAACACAGAAGATAGTTTTGCTGCTCCATCTCAGCCAAATCTTCAAGAGGCACCCATGCAATATCAACAGGACATATCCTTGTTAGATTTCAGAAAAAGACAGAATTGGAGTCAGATTTTGACTGTAAATCCTACAGGTACTGTGGAAACACCGAAGGACTGCTCAAATCAGCAGAAAGAGATGTCAATTCTATCAATCTCTACTCGGAATTTACTACCCAAAGTCAAAAACACCCTGACTCAGAATTCCTATCATTAACTGTGAGGAGCTCAGATGTTTACATATTGTAATAACGCATGATATAAATGCAAATCCTTATTTAAAATTAACGTTGCTGACTTTCATTTTGCTCACCTTGGAATTTCCAAGACTAGTTGTATAATCCAACCTACAACTTAGAAGGAAGGCAACAACATCAAACTACCCATCTTTACAGGAGTACTCACCGACGCAGGTAGGCCAATTCCATTGGCTACTTGGGCTAAAGCTGTAGCTGCCTGTGTTTTCATTGGACTAGAGTTTTGGTTGGTTGTTGATGTCAGGAGAGAAGTGTATGGTGCCAATCCTAGTTTGCAATAAAAGGAAAGGACTGGTCAGTTTTACCATATTTCCATCACAGTGAGAAATTTCAAAATCCCTGCATTCCAATATTATGCCATATCCTTTTAATATTCTCAACCAATCAACAACGGCAATTCAGATAATTGAAGGAAACGTTTGCCTGACAAGAAGCTCATATTTATTGCACTGACTAGTTGACAGTTGTGTTGAGCTGAGACAACCAGTAACGTCAAGACAAAAGTTGAGGAGTAACTCAATCATTGGTAATTAGATGATTGCTAATAAATAAGATGAATAAGTGGAAAAATAATAAACTGGAGAGAAAAGGTGGGAATAAATAATTTACCCTCAGGACAATAGGCCACTGCAGCAGCAAAGGAGGGTGGGCCAGCATGGAGCAATTAGTCAGGAAGGGCAGACGGGGAAACAAAAACATCAAGGTAACAACAACACAACAGGAGCAATCCTGCTTCATTAAAATAAAAAATATATTTTTATCATCAAATTCGTAAGTTTGCAGAGTACACAAACATTTGTGGCGTTGTGGATGGCAAGGAAGGTTGTCAAACGACACAGCAGGATATAGATCAGTTGGAAGGTTGGGCAGAGCAATGGCAGCTGGAGTTTAATCTGGACAAGTGTAAGGTCAAATGCAGGAAGAAAGTAAACTGTAAATGGCAGGACACAGGAGCAATGATATTCAGAAGGACTCTTGGGTGAGGATCCACCTCCCCCTCTCTCCCTATTTCAGAATCCCCTTCCCTTCCCCCATTTCTGAAGAAGGGTCTAGACCCAAAACGTCAGCTTTCCTGCTCCTCTGATGCTGCTTGGCCTGCTGTGTTCATCCAGCTCTACACCTTGTTATATCAGATTCTCCAGCATCGGCAGTTCCTACTATCTCGATAATATACATGAGCCAAGAGGTAACTTTTTGTTTAGTGTATTTTAAAAATAAGTACCTGCAAGTTAATACACTACTTTGGATACTTGACCATCAAATCAATTGGATTTTCCTACCTACTACTGTTAATACTATGGCACCAGAGACTGGACTAATAACCCAAAACTGACGAAGTGACACTGCACCATGACACCTTGTGAAACTGCACTTAAAGATAACACCAAGATTAGGTAAGAAGTCACCACAAAAGCTGCTAGATTGATATAACAACCCAACTAGTTCACTGATGTGCTGTCGGGAAGCTGTCATCTCCTACCTAGACTGATGATGTTGAACTGCTCATTTAAGATGGACCAGGAGTACAAAGCTCCAACAAGCCACTTGATTAAACAACAACACAGAATGCCATAGTGTCACACTCGTGGGCTTACCATCATCGCACACATCCTGTGAACATCCTGCATTATACAGCACCTTTAACATAGTGAGATGTTCAGAGGCATTTCACAGTAATGGAAATCTCTCAGAATTTGAGAACAAGTCAAACAATGAGATGTCAGGGAAGCTCACAAACGTTTGGCCAGAAGTAGGTGTTAAGGAATGTTTGAAAGGAAAGAGAGCGAGGTAGAGATACCAAGAAAGTTTCAGAGCTTAGGTCCTAACTACACAAGGCACAAACATCATTGGTGGAACAATGAAAAATATTGGGGGCCCTCGGAGATCACAGTTGGAGGATTGCAGTGGTCAGAGAGTCATTAGGCTGCAGATTAGAGATAATTCACAGCATAAGGCTATGAAGAAATCTGCAAAGCAGAGTGAGAATTCCAAACAATACTAATGCCAATTCAGATCAGTGATCATAGGGATGATAAGTAAAGTGAGTTAGAACTAGAACAAGTGAGCTTTGAATGAAAAGCTGACAAGGAAGAAAATGGTATTTCAGAATACACACCTGTGGTCTTCAGAATAGGTATCTGAACACTTGAAACCGTACTGGGTAGTTCCTGTGGCCCATTGGTCTCAGAGGTAGAATCATTGAGACTATCTGCTGGAGCTAGAGCTTCTGCTGGTCGGGAGGGCTGGTTGCTTTCTGCTGCTTGTTGCTGGCGTGCTCTTTCTATGTCCTGCTGCGCAAGTTCAGCCAATGGTACGACGGACTGCAGAGACACCAATGTCTGCAGTGCCTGCTGTGACAGCTGTGCTGGTTGCATTGTTGCTAACTCCGCTGCTGAGGTATCCATGGTCTCTTCCCTTGCTGTATTGTAAATCAAAGGGAGCAGAAACGGTTTAAAACTAGTGCAGTGTTATTAATAGTTAGTCAAGAGTAGATTGAAGAGCACAAAGAATGGTTAATTATTCAACAGAACTACAAATGTCAGTTTATTAAAAAAAAATTTTAAAAGATATGCTTGGTAGGCATAGTGTAGTTATGTATTATTTAAGTAATCCAGAGGCCTGATGACTGGTGTGGAAAGATGAATTCAAATACTATCATGGTACCTGAGAAATTTAATCTCAAAATTAATTCCTCAGTTCTGAAGGAGGGTCTCATAGAGACTTATAAAATTCAAACAGGACTGGACAGGATTGATGCAGGGAGGATGTTCCCGATGGTCGGTGTGTGAAGAGCCAGGGGTCACAGTAGGAGAATTTGGGGTAGACAATTTAGGATGGAAACGAGGAGACATTTCTTCACCCAAAGAGTGGTGAGCCTGCGGAATTCATTACCACAGGAAGTAATTGATGCCAAAACACAATGTATTCAAGGAGGCGACTAGATACAGCACTTGGGGCGAATGGGATCAAAGGTTATGGGGAGAAAGCAGGATTAGGCTATTGAGTTGGACGGTCAGCCATGAAAGTGAAGGCGGCGGAGCAGGCTTGAAGGGCCAAATGGCCTCCTCCTGCCATTATCTTCTATGTTTTTATGTCTCTGGACCTGAAATGTTAACTCTGCTTTCTCTCTACAGATGTTGCCATTTCTGCTGAGTTTCTCCAGCAATTTCTGTTTTTGTTTCAGATTTCCAGCATCTGCAGGTCTTTGGATTTTTATAGACATACATATGTTTGTTGGATAAGGGGATCAAGGCACATGGAGTAAAGGAGTGTAAACGGAATTAATATACAGGCCATAACCAAATTGCATGGGAGGTCAGAGAGGCCTAATGGCTTTCTACTTATGTCCTGATTGATGACTGAATTGCTGAGGTGATCATAATAATGCCCAATCCTGGAAATCTGTTGTCCAGTGGCACTTAATGCTCACATCAAGCATATAATATTTACGAAAAGGATGATTATGAATTTAGTTTAGCTTGAAGCCATTTTTGAGGACACGTTCCACTTAGAGTCATAGAGTTGTACAGCCTGGAAACAGACCCTTCAGTCCAACTCATCCATGCCAATCAGATATCCTAAATATCCCATTTGCCAGCATTTGGCCCATATCCCTCTAAATCCTTCCTATTAATGTACCCATTCAGATGTCTTAATTGTACCAGCCATTACCACCTCCTCTGGAAACTCATTCCATATATACACCACACATTGAAAAAGTTGCCCCTCAGGTCCCTTTCAGATCTATCTAAACCTATGCCCTCTAGTTTTGGATTCCATCACCCCAGGGAAAAGATCTGGCTATTCAGATTTTATTAATCTCTATAAGGTCACCCCTCAGCCTCTGATGCTCCAGGGAAAATAGCCCCAGCCTAGTCAGCCTCTCCCAATAGCTCAAACTTTCCAACCCCAGCAACATCCTTGTAAAGCTTTTCTGAATTCTTTCAAGTTTAACAACATCTTTCCTATAGCAGGGAGACCAGAATTGAATGTGGTATTCCAAATGTGGCCTAACCAATGTCCTGTACAGCCACAGTATGACATCCTAACTCCTAAACTCAACTATACTGACCAATAAAAGGCAAGCATACCAAATGTCTTCTTCACTATCCTATTGACCTGCGATTCCACTTTCAATGAACTACGTACCTGCACCCCTAGGTCTCTGTTCTGCAACACATCCCAGGACTCTACCATTAAGTGTATAAGTCCTGACTTGATTTGCCTTACCAAAATGCAACACCTCACATTTATCCAAATTAAACTGCATCTGCCACTCCTCGGCCCATCAGATCAAGGTGCCGTTGTACACCGAGATAGCCTTATTCACTGTCCACTATACCAAAAATTTTGGTGTAATCTACAAATTTACTAATCATACCTCCTATATTCACATCCAAATCATTTTTGTAAATGACAAAAACCAGTGGATCCAGCAGTGATGCTTGTTGCACACTGCTGGTCACTGGCCTCCAGTATGAAAAACAACTTTCCTCCACCAGTCCGTCTCCTACCTTCAAGCTAATTTTGTACCCATCAGCTAGCTCTCCTTGGATTCCACGTGATCTAACTTGCTAACCAGTCTACTGTGCAGAACCTTGTTGAATGCCTTGCCGAAGTCCATATAGACAACGTCCACCGCTCTGCCTTCAGCAATTTTGTCACTCCTTCATAAAACTCATTCAAGTTTGTAAGGCAACATTTCCCACACACAAAGCCACGTTGATCAGTCCTTGCCTTTCCAAATACATGCAAATCCTGTCCCTCAGATTCACTTCCAACAACTTACTCACCACTGATGTCAGGTTCACCAATCTATAGTTCCCTGGCTTTTCCTTACCACCTTTCTTAAATAATGGCTACATATTAGCTAACCTCTGGTCTTTCAGCTTCTCACCAGTGGCTATTGAGGATACAAATATCTCAGCAAGGGGCCCAGCAATCACTTCCTGAGCCTCCCACAAAGTTCTGGATACACCTGATCAGGACCTGGGGATTTACCCACTTTTATGCATTTTAAGATGTCAAGCAACATCACCTCTGTAATATGTACACTTTTCAAGATATTATTATTTACTTCTCCAAGTTCTCTCGCTTTCACATCCTTCTCCACAGTCAATATTGACGTGAAATTCTTGTTTAATATCTCACCCATCTCCTGTGGTTAGACACACAGACAGGCTTGTTGATCATTAAAGTACCCTATTCTCTCCCTTGTTACTCATTTGTCCTTCATATATTTGTAGAATCTCTTTGGATTCTCCTTAACCTTATACGCCAAAGCTATCTCCTTTTTGCCCTCCTCCATTCCCTTTTGAGTATACTCCTACTGCTCCAATACTTCTCTAGGGATTGACTCGATCCCACCTGTCTATACCTGTCACATGCCTCTGTTTTTCCTCTTATCCAGAGCCTCAATTTCTGTAGGCATCCAGCATCTGCGTCTGGATTCGTTATCTCATTTTGAAGACTTCTCAATTGCCAACTGTCCCTTTACCTGTGAATAGCCTCTCCCAATCAACTTTTGAAAGTTCTTGCCTAAAAACCTTCAAAACTGGCATTACTTCAATTCAGATTTTAGATCAGGTTTATTCTTTTCCATAACTATTTTAAAACTGATAGAATTATGATTATTGGCTCCATAGTGCTCCCCCACTGACATGTCAGTCACTAGCTCTGCCTTATTTCCCAGGAGAAGGTCAAGTTTTGCTCCTCTAGTAGGTACACCCACATACTGACTAAGAAAATTTTCATGTACACGCTTAAATTCCTCTCCTTCCAAGCCCTTAACACTATGACAGTCCCAGTCTACTTTGGAAAGTTAAAATCCCTTACCATTATGGATTTCAGTAAAGCGTTTGATAAGGTTCCCCATGGTAGGCTATTGCAGAAAATACGGAGGCATGGGATTGAGGGTGATTTAGCGGTTTGGATCAGAAATTGGCTAGCTGTGAGAAGACAGAGGGTGGTGGTTGATGGGAAATGTTCATCCTGGAGTTCAGTTACTAGTGGTGTACCTCAAGGATCTATTTTGGGGCCACTGCTGTTTGTCATTTTTATAAATGACCTGGATGAGGGCGTAGAAGGATGGGTTAGTAAATTTGCGG